TTTTTTCACTGTAAACATCATGAAAGGATGGATAACAGACAATTTAATTCTCTTTCTACATATGCTTTTTATGATTATAAAAATAATATGCTATTATAGGAAATATGGGAAAGTACAAAGAAGAAAATAAAATAGTCATAAAAAAGGGTGTTTGTTATTTTAAACTGCACTAACTAGTGACCAGCGAAGGACTGGAATAAAGTCATCGAAGCAGAGTTAGAACAAACCACTCTTAATTATTCTGGAATGGATTAAGGGCATGGCTCAAGGTCCCCTAGGACCTACAAAACGCTCCCCTCTTCATCGAGGTTTTATATTAATGGAGTAACTAATAAGGGGAGTGCCGTAAAGAGTGGAGACAAACCTTGCGATTAAGCTATTTCAATTAATGAAGGAAAATCTATTCATTGTTTTTCACTGTCCTTTAACTCTGAGGCTTTGCTTATTTCCTTCTCTTACCCTGAAGCTCTAAAATTAGAGAAATAATGTGTGAACTTATGAGGTTGAATATTTTTTAATTGATTGTGTGTATTTTTTCTTTAGGGAATTATGTCTTTATTCCTCTTTTCTATTAATATCTGTTCATTTCTATTTTTGTTATTGATTTTTCAGTAACCTTTTATATGTTAAAGGTATCAATCCTTTGTCTAATATGCTACAGATTTTTCCCATTTGCATTTTCATTAGACTGTGAACTTCTCTAGGTCAAGGACTATATGTCTTATAATAATGGCTCCCAATTTTAAACATTTACTATATACTAAGAAGTTAGCATTTTGTATGCATTATCTCACTCAAATATTGTGAGGATTAACACTGTTTTCATATTACAGAAGCCAAGTAAGATTAAGTAACTTGTTGACAAAGATGCAGCTAACTTTAGGTGGCAGAGCTAGGAAAGGGACTTGAGATTTGACTACACAGTCTGTGATCTTAATCAACATACTGTATTGCATCTTCTATATTCTTAATATCACCAGTATCTAGTATAAAGTGTAATACTTAGTTAGACACATTATTCACATTTGCTTGATTGAATGATATCAGGACATAATTCATTTATGTAGTATTTGCTTACTTAATTTTGTATAACATGGTGTTTCTTTTTTTTTTTAAACATGGTGTGTTTTAAATAAGGACTTGTGTTCTCCAGTGCTTGACCTAGATAGTTTGTTGAATGTGGTTATAAATTGACTATTTTAAGCTGAAAGTAAAACAACTTCTTTCATTGGTTTAATTTTATAAAGTGGGCTCTATTTTTAATAAATTCATTGTATACTCCTCAGAAGGACTTGTGTTCTCCAGTGCTTGACCTAGATAGTTTGTTGAATGTGGTTATAAATTGACTATTTTAAGTTGAAAGTAAAACAACTTCTTTCATTGGTTTAATTTTATAAAGTGGGCTCTATTTTTAATAAATTCATTGTATACTCCTCAGAAGTCTCAA